GCGTCCAGCTCACCTGCGCCCCCTGTGGAGAGTAAGAGCTGAGCAGGCAGAGCAGTGCGGCTGAGTCTCCAGAGATCTGCAGAGAAGAGGGAGGCAGCAGAGACACGGAGGGCTTCACTGCGGGACCAGCTGAAACACACAAACACACACAACACACTTCTTCACATCTGCAGCTACAATCTTCACTGGAGCAGACGTGATAATGCAGCCAAAATCACAATCAGCTCATCTTTACTGTAACTCCACATCACTGCTTTCATTCATATAACACAAATATCCTGAATGAAGTTTCAAAATATTCTCCATTAGCTATTAACAATTAAATGTACTGTTAAGAAATGTAAAAACGATCATAATTTTAATTGTAAAAGACTGAAAAATGTTATGGGAGAAAACTGTTAATTGGTTAACAGTAAGTTCTATATACAGTTCTATATTTCACTATATACAGTGAAAAACTGTACTAAATCTAACAGGACATTTCATGTAATTTTACAGTAAAATATTGAATGCAGTTTTTGAAAGTGAAAGAACAAATTTGACTATCACAGCTGCTGTTTTTTACTATAATTTTTACAGTGTATCAAATACAACATACTGCATAAATATAAATTAGTTATCTTAAGCAAACCTGATATACTGTAAAAATGTATGCTATTATTTCTGAATTAAGTAAAATTTTAAAAAAGATTTAATAAAATATCTCTGACCAAGTGCAAATTGATAATTTTTGTGGTATTGTTTTAGGATTTAGGAAACAAATTGAACACTTATTTCTATTTTGAAAATAGTCAACATTCAGGACATTTTCTCATAAAGATAATTATATGTAAACATATAGTTTAAATAATACATTTTAAAAGGCTTATCAGCTAAATTTCCTTTTGACTCATGAAATTAAATATATTCTGTTTATATTATCCTGCTTTTGTGTCATGCACAAATTAAAATATTTAAAAAAATAACTGAGAATTCATTACAAAAATTGCCATTAATTAAAATATATCAAACTGCTAGCATAAAAAATGTGAAATTACTAATGTAAAATATTAAGTACAAATATGAACTCTGGCTTGAAATGGGAAAATATTGAATATCACCAAATATGACTTGTACATAATATAGCAGACAAAATTTAATATTTTAAACACATTCATAGGTACAATCAATCAATAAAACAGAATACAATTTTACAATAAAATTAGAATTATTGTTGCCAAATGTTAAACCTCCTTTTAAAATACACACACATTATATATTTATATTAGATCATTTAAGAAAGACTTACTTCTGATGGTCAGTTCAGTTCCTCCACCAAAAGTGTACCACAGTGCTTCATTCTAGTGAAAGCGTCGTACAAAAACCTCCGTCACACTCAGATGAACACAAACTCCACGACACTCACACACACTGATACGAGACTCAACATCAGACATGGATTATTCAAAAGCAGTAGTACAAAATGTTCATCTTAAATAATAAATCATTGTTATTGCATTAAGGCTGAAATCAAATCATTTGTTTCATAATCAGTCCCAAAATTCATTACAAAACACCTGTTATTTAAACTTTGCTAATTCTATTTACCTGCTTTGCAATGAACTCTTTAGCAAGATTTAGATGGTGATTCCCTTAAATGACCTTTGACCTGTTATACAGTATCATACTAGGCCTATCATGGATGACATCAAATCTGTAACACAGGTATTAAATGCTCTCAGCATGAAAAACTGATTGAAACTTATCAAAAAACAGTGTTTGGAGGGAGAAGCTCGTCCCGAAATAAATAATTAAATAGCATGCAGTAAATCATGAGTGTTTGTTTCTGAAAATGGAAAGAAGAAATTTATTAGCAAAGATACTAAACAGTAAAACTGTTTCTGCTGTCTTCAGGTAAATGATGTGGAGTATGTTTGCATATTGATCAGATGCTTCAGTGCTCTGAGAGTGTTTATAGTGCTGTGAGTTTAACACTTCATCACTGACACACACAACAATCTTCATCAACATGACCTTCATCATCATCTTCATCTGGACTCTCACAGCGTTTGCTCAAGGTTTGTGGAGCACAAGTTTGATATGAATTCATTTCTTCAAGTATATTGTCAGAGTTTTGAGTTGATTTTCTTCTTGTTGTGTGTTTCAGAGAGTAGAGGACAGATCAGCGTCACTCAGAGTCCCTCAACGACAGCAGCTCAACCAGAAGAAACAGTCAAAATCAACTGTAGAACCAGCAGAGATGTGCACAGATGGAGTGATGGGGATGAAGGTTTAGCCTGGTATTTACAGAAACCCGGAGAAGCTCCTAAACTCTTGATTCGTTATGCAAACACTCTCCAGTCAGGAACTCCATCTAGATTCAGTGGCAGTGGATCTAACAGTGATTTCACTCTGACCATCAGTGGAGTCCAGACTGAAGATGCTGGACATTATTACTGTCAGAGTTTTCACTGCAGAACAGATTCTGATGGTGGCTGTGTGGGTGATGATGTGTTCACACAGTGATAAAGAGAGGTACAAAAACCTCCGTCAGTCAGAGTCACAGTGATGAACTGATGCTGCAGCTGCTCAAACACTATCACACACTACTGACACACAGAGACCAAACACAGAACTACACATGAGATCAAAACTGAGGAGTCAAATCAGCTCCATTAGAATGTGATCTGTCCTGTGACAGACTAGTTTGACTCAATTATGCTCAGAATTAGAGAAAATTGATAGCAAATCAAACAAAAATATGTTTTTTTCTCAGTTCCAGTTTTATAGATGTTGTGGAGTTTTTGTAGATTGTTCTACACTCATCCTTACAGTCATACGTATTCTTGATAAACTGCTTTATGAAACTACCACTCAAATTTTATAACTGTCTCATTTCTCATGAGCAGAAGTGAAACTGTTCAGTTCAGAGCATTTCATTTTCAGGGAAAATTAGATTTGCATTGGCAGCTTTAATGATTCTGATCGTCTCAGAATAGAGCAGCTCCATCTCCAGAGACCATGTTCAAACCCCAAGAGCTTCAGTTCACATTTACTGCTAAACGCAGCTGTTCTTAACTCTTACAATCCATCAACAGCAGCTGAAACTTTAGTGAAGGAAGGACACACTGATCAAAGATGCACTCAAACACAAATGTAAGGCGTTCAGAAGCTTTATTGAATGAACAGCAATGGCAGCACATTGAAAGACTGCTTGAGTATTGAGCTGTAAATCAGGAGACTGCTGTGAATCCTGCTGCTCTTCACTGGAGAAACATCAGCACTCGGAGCTCTTGAGGAACGAGGTCTCGTGATCAGCTCCGTCATGTGTTACTCTGCAGACGAAGCGCTCGCCGTCTTCCCAGCGTGCTTTACTGAGGCTCAGGACGCTGCTGCGGCTGTAGCGTCCGTCCCGCTCGCTCTCTGCGCTGGTCTGAACCCCCTCGGTGACCTCTGACCCGTCCAGCGTCCAGCTCACCTGCGCCCCCTGTGGAGAGTAAGAGCTGAGCAGGCAGAGCAGTGCGGCTGAGTCTCCAGAGATCTGCAGAGAAGAGGGAGGCAGCAGAGACACGGAGGGCTTCACTGCGGGACCAGCTGAAACACACAAACACACACAACACAAACTCACACTCCAGCACTCTGACTGTAGCTCATAGTTTCAGGTAATGCAGGAAAAAAACAATAATTTCATCATTACTGCAGTTTGACCTCACTGCTTTCATTCATATTCCACATAGACACTATCCTACATTTAATCGCCATTAAATAAATGTTCACCTCTACTAAATGTTTAATGCACATCTAATTGTAAATTTAAATCAGTTTAAGCAAACTTAACATACTGCAAAAATGATAAGAATTTGCCATTTTCTGAATTACTTTTTAAATTTCTCAAACTGAGTTTAAAAACATTGTTCACATGCAAATTTATGATTATTTAGAAAACAAATTAATATTATAATTTATATATCAATTGCATTTTTAAAAGATCATATCAAACACTCAGAATCATAATTATGCATGTTAAAAAAATTTATTAAAAAAATGTTAATAACTCAATTTGTTATTATGAAGATGCCTACCAAATTAGAATCATTTAGATTATTTTATCAAACTTTTGTGCCATGCATTTCAAAGACTCTTAATTATTAACTTTATCAAGAGTTACAGACACACAATATATTATGAAATAATTATCAAACTATTTCAATCAATGAATTAAAATGCAATTAAATGTTAGCAATAATAAAATGTAAAATTATTCATGTGAAGTGAAACAAACTGAAAACATATGAAATATGAATTTAAATGGAAAAAATAAATATCCTGAAATATCACTAAATATTAATATATAGTTGTAAAATTGCATACATTATTAAATAAACTGAAACAGATAAATTCATCATGAAATGTTGGAATTAATGAATAAATAATTTTAATATTAATAATTAATATTTTCTATCTTTATTGTTCTTTAACTTCAATAAAATTTTTATAATAATTGTTGGCAAATGTTTTCTTAATAAAATGAATAATAATATCTTGCATTTTAATGACAGAATTGAAGAGACTTACTGATGGTCAGTTTAGTTCCTCCACCAAAAGTGTACCACAGTGCTTCATTCTAGTGAAAGCGTCGTACAAAAACCTCCGTCACACTCAGATGAACACAAACTCCACGACACTCACACTGATATGAGACTCAACAGCAGCTCTTCTCAACATCAGTGATGGATTATTGAACTAAAGTGACTTTTACAAAAACAGCCTCATCATTTTTAAAGGTCTCTTGATGCATGAACACTAGTAGTTCATTCTAAATAAAAAAAAGTAAATAAAAATACAAATGTATGTATTAATCACATTTTCATTAGACATCCTAAGCTTAGAGACCAGGACAAATAGATAAGCCCCAGAGACAGACCCCCATCTAAGACCATGTCACCTAGACGGTCATCGGCACAAGACCACGGGAACCAGTCGAGTCTTCTGCACAATCTGACTTGAACTGAACTGCTGGTTTCGTCTGGCCAGAGGAAAACTGGCCCCCCGACTGAGCCTGGTTTCTCCCAAGGTTTTTTCTCCATTTTGTAACAGATGGAGTTCTGGTTCCTTGCCGCTGTCGCCTCTGGCTTGCTTAGTTGGGGACACTTAATTTCCAGCGATATCGTCAACTTTATTGCACAGAAACTGTCTGAACTGAGCTGGACGATGACATCACTGAATCAATGATGAACTGACTTAAACTGAAAATTGAGTGTTTACTATTTTGCATTATTACACACTATTTTCCTTATTTAATACTGCAAAGCTGCTTTGACACAATCTGCATTGTTAAAAGCGCTATATAAATAAAGGTGACTTGACTTAGGTTTCTAAATGATCATGCATTTCTCAATGCATTTTTAATCATTAAAGCAGATTTAATAATAGTTTTGATGACCTGTGACCTCTGGAATGACTTTTGACCTCCTAATGGAGTTAATAATGCAACTCCGCTGTTTGAATCATCAGAAAACCTGTAGCTTCAGACACTTGAGTAAATGTTTTTGACTCATAACATGAGAAAAGATCCTAAACACTTGTTATTTTTCACATGCATCATCTGCTGTAACTTGTACACAGATTTACATAGAGATGATTTGCATTGCAGCACAAGCTTCAGGAGGTTTTATAGCTCTGTGAGTTTGAACTCTGAGAATCTGAACCAACAGCAACCATGAGCTTCATCACCATCTTCATCTGGATCTTCACTAGCTACTGTTTCACAGGTGAGGAAATAAACACACTCTATTCTAACTGATCATCTGTGCTAGAAATACTGTCTTTCAACAAATACTGAATTCTGAATGTTTATTCATTTTTCTCGATGTAGAATCAGCAGCTGAAGTGACAGTCACTCAGACACCTGCAGTCAAACCTGTTCAACCAGGAGACACAGTTACTATGTCCTGTAAAACAAGCACTGAAGTTTACCAGGGTTGGAGTGTTCAGCCTCTTTCCTGGTACTTACAGAAACCTGGAGAAGCTCCTAAACTCCTTATTTATGCTGCAGACACTCTTGAGTCAGGAACTCCATCTAGATTCAGTGGCAGTGGATCTAACAGTGATTTCACTCTGACCATCAGTGGAGTCCAGACTGAAGATGCTGGACATTATTACTGTCAGAGTGTACATGTCATCAACAGCCAACATGTGTTCACACAGTGATAAAGAGTGGTACAAAAACAGCCCTGATTTTTGTCTCATGGCATAGGTTATTTCAGCGTCTTCTAACAAATCTAACAAAAAGTATCTTTGCATTGATGGAACTTGGAGTAATTTGGTGATTTCAATTTGAAAAAGGTAGACTGTGGGAGGAGTGACAGTTCATAGAATAATTTTAATAATTTACTCACCCTTATGTCACTCCAAACCCATCAATCTGGGGAACACAAATGGGGATGTTTAGCAGTTTAGCAGAAAGTTCAAGCTTCTCTTATTTTCCACACAAAGTCAGTTGATGACTCTGGATGTCAAACTCTAAACATGAAAAAAGGCTTCATAAAATCAGTTCACATGACTTGTGCACTACATTCAAAGTCTTTTGAATCCATGTGTGAGGAGTAGCCTACACAGAATTTAATTAGAGAAATCTTGACTTCCACTCTACATCTCGTAGAGTAGCTCCATTTGTCTTCGTAAACAGAATTTTTTTTTTGTAGTAAACAGAAATCAGACGAATCACCTGTGAGTTCTGACGCAACAGACTCAACTCTCTGCTGGGGATTTTGATTCATCAAAGTGACTCCAATCTTTATCAAATCCTTTCACCAAAAAAGATTTGTTCTAATCTGTTCAGTGATCAGTTCATCGACAGTCACGAGATATTCCAGTTTATTCAGTTAATTCACGAGATGACTCGTTCACTATAAAGTAAATTAATCAGTAGTAACCTATTGTTTAATAAATGGTTGTATAAAAGCAATATCACATTTGCAATCATGCTGTTGATCTGATATTCAGAAGAAGCAGCGCTCTTGCATGTGCGATGTTGCTTTATATCAATGAACGATTATATTAACATGTGAACTCATTAAATATTTTCTTAAGTCTCAGTGAAACAGAACATTAAACCAACTTAGACTTGTTGGCATTCTCCTGAAGTGTTTGCATAGAGAGTGTGTTTTACATGAGCACCACACGCTTCAGTGCTCTGCATGTGTTTATAACTCTGTCAAACATGAAACATGATCAATAACTGTTTTTCACTCTAACTGAACCTACAATCAACAAAAATGACTTTCATCACCATATTGATCTGGACGCTGGCAGTATTATGTCAAGGTTTGTGTCAGTAAAGATTATATGTTATTTACTTGTTATTTTTATGCATGTTGTGAAGATATATGTTT